CCTGCACTCCTGGCTTCAGCATGGCCCACCCCTGGTAGTTGGAGCCATTTGGGGAGTGAACCAATGGATAGATTTCTCTTTCTCTGTCTGTCCTTTTCTCTCTCTCTCATTTTCAAATGAATAAATAAATCTTTTTTTTTAATTTTTTTTTATTTTTTTATTTTTTTGACAGGCAGAGTGGACAGTGAGAGAGAGAGACAGAGAGAAAGGTCTTCCTTTGCCGTTGGTTCACCCTCCAATGGCCACCGCGGCTGGCGCGCTGCGGCCGGCGCACCACGCTGATCCGATGGCAGGAGCCAGGAGCCAGGTGCTTTTCCTGGTCTCCCATGGGGTGCAGGGCCCAAGCACCTGGGCCATCCTCCACTGCACTCCCTGGCCACAGCAGAGGGCTGGCCTGGAAGAGGGGCAACCGGGACAGAATCTGGCGCCCCGACCGGGACTAGAACCCGGTGTGCCGGCGCCGCTAGGCAGAGGATTAGCCTAGTGAGCCGCGGCACCGGCTAAATGAATAAATAAATCTTTAAAAAAACTACAGCTATACTAAACATGTAGATGTTTTTCTTGATATTATTCCCTAAATAATGCAGTATAATGACTATTTATATTGTATTAGATATTATAAGTAATCTAGAGATGATCTAAAGTACATGAGAAGATATAAGTTATATGCAAAAATAACAATTTTATATAAGGATATCCATATGTTTGGGTATCCTTGCCTGGTTATGGAACCAATCCCCAGAGATAACAAGTGGTAACATTATAACTTGTAAAAATATAGAATATTTTTAACCAAAGGCTTTGTTTAATTTATATGAACTTTTAAAATATACTACAAGTTATATTGCTTTTATACAGAGCATAACTTTTCTAATGATATTTCTTTTTTTTAAAAGGTTTATTTTTATTTATTTGAAAGACAGAGTTACAAATAGAGATAGAGCCATACAGAGAGAGAGAGAGAGAGAGAGGTCTTCCGTCTGATGGTTCACTCCCCAAATGGCCCCAATAGCCAGAGCTGAGCTAATCCAAAGCCAGTAGCCAGGAGCTTCTTCTGGGTCTCCCACACAGGTACAGGGACCCAAGGACGTGGGCCATCTTCTGCTTTTCCAGGCCATAGCACAGAGCTGGATCAGAAGTGGAGCAGCCAAGACTCGAATGGGCACCCATGTGGGATGCCTGCCCTGCATGCCAGGGCTTTAACCCACTGCAACGCAGTGCCAACCCCTCTAATGATATTTCAATAAAATTATTTTTCTAGAAGGCTCTAGTGTGGGGTTTCATAAATGAGTGAGACAGATCATGGACATCTTCACCTGAAGAGTGTGCCCTGGATTGCTTTGGCCAGCACTTTCTATTAGAGGGTATCAGCAAGTCTACAAGCTAGCTGGCACATAGGCACAGTTGATGTACAACTTTAGGTGGGAAAGGAATCCAGTCTGGTGATCCATGACTGGGAACAGAACTGTGGTGTAAATCTTCAAAGACAGGTCCATTCAAATGCTCCTGCAATTAACATCCATTCAGCCCCCTGCTGTCTAGGCTGCCACATTCCTTTAGGGGCAGCTTATGCCCCCCCCATTGCCTATTTTGATGAAGATCAGAAACTGTAGCCTTTCCTCTAATTTCATGGCAGTTTCCTGCCTTGAGACACACTCAAGCAGCAGCATCTACTATAGGTCCAAAATTATGCAAGTGGCTGTTACAGATGTAAAATCCTTATGTTGAGTTGAGAGTGTCCAATTAGATATAAACAGTGCCCCAGGTTGGCAGTGTGCTAGTTGGCTGGATAAGCTGGCTCCATAAACTGGTTTACATAAGATTCCTACAAGTTCTAGGATACCTTTAAATGTATAGTGACCAGAATATTGAGAAAAATAGAATATAAGAATCAGAAGATGAAGATCATATGGTGTACTAACTTTTTTAAAAAGATATACTCATTTTATTTGTATGTTAGAATTGTAGAGAGAGAGATCTTCTATCTGCTGGTTCACTCTCCATATGGCTGCAACAGCCAGGGCTGGCCAGGCCAAACCAGGAGCCTGGGGCTTCATCTGGGCCCCCCACATTGGTGCAGGGGCCTAAGCATTTGAGCATCTTCTGCTGCTTTCCCAGGCACACCAGCAGGGAGACGGATTGAAAGTGGAGCAGCCATGACTTGAACCAGCACCCATATGGGATGCCAGAGCCTCAGGTGGCAGCCTTACCCTCTGTGCCATAGCGTTGGCTCATGGTATAGTGGTTTTTACAGTGTAGTATAGAGAATAATAATTATATGAAGACTTTCTTAAAAATGCGGACCCTTGGGCCTTAGCTCAAATACTAATCGATATCTTTGGGGATAAAGGTGAGGAAGTAATGAAGGATGCAAGAGCTTCATGACTAAATTTTATGTAAGGCTTTGTGTGCCTTTGTAGTACTAGTTAAATACAAACTTGAGCAAGTTAACTTCTCTGTACCACAGCTTCCATGAAATAAGATTAAACAATACATAAGAAATTCTCAAATTCTCAACTGTGTTGGCTTTATAAAATTAGTTTTGAGGGCTGAGACTGTGTTATAGTAGGTTGAGCCTCCACCTGCGGTGCTAGCATACCATATGGGTGATCCTTCGAGTCCCGACTGGTCCACTTCCAAGCCAGCTCCCTGCTAAGGTACCTGGGAAATCAGTGGAAGATGGCCCAAGTGCTTGACTCCTGCACCCACAAGGGAGAACTGGGGGAAGTTCCTGGCTTCTGGCTTCAGCCTGGCCCAGCCCTTGCCATTGTGGCCATTTGGGGAGTGAGCCAGCAGATGGAAGACATCTCTGTTTCTCCCTTTCTGTTTTCACTCTGGCTCTCAAATAAATAAATAATTTTTTTAAAAAATTAATTCTTGCTTATTTTCTAGTGATCGTTACCATAAATTTACTAAATTTATTGTGTCATATATGTATATTAAAGATTTATTTATTTATTTGAAGGTCAAAGTTACACAGAGAGGGAAGGGGAGGCAGAGAGAGAGAGAGTTCTTCCATCCACCTGTTTATTCCCTAGTTGGCTGCTACAGCTGGAGCTGTGCGGATGTGAAACTAGGAGCCAGGAGCTTCTTCCAGGTCTCCCACGCAGGTGCAGAGACCCAAGGACTTGGGCCATCTTCCACTGTCTTAGCAGAGAGCTGGATTGGAAGTGGAGCATCCAGAACTTGACCCAGGGCACAAATGGGATGCTGGCACTGTAGGCGGTGGCCTTACCCGCTATGCCACAGCAGCCCCCCACCACTGTGTCATATAGTTTTAATTCACATGTATTTTCTAGATTTCCACAAAAGACTGTACAATGTTCAATGATGACTTACATTAATTGTAAATAAGAGGCTACTACTCTGGAATTTAGCCCTTTTTAGCATTCATGAAACCACAGAAGATCCTTTGAAAAAATAATATATATATATTTCAATTAGTTTTATATAGTTGAATAAAAAGGTTATGTGAAGTTTATAAAGTAGAACTATATAAACTGGCTTATTATTCTGCCGATTAGACTTTGGCATTGGGATTCTGAATACAGATAGTCTAATTATAAAGCTTACTCTTTAGTCACTCTACAATATTACTTTTTTAAGTATACTATTTTAGGGTCTGATATTGTGGCATAGTGTAAAGCCTGTTCCACTTTTGATCCAGCTCTCTGCTAATGGCCTTGGAAAAGCAGTGGAAGAAGGCTCAGGTGCTACCTGTGTGGGAGACCGGGATGAAACTGGCCCAGCCCTGGTCATTGCAGCCATTCAGAGAGTGAATCAATGGATAGAAGATCTCTCTCTTTGTGTCTCCCTCTCTTTCTCTCTGACCTTAAAAAAAAAAAAAGTACTATTTTAAGAACCTTATGCGCCGGTGCCGTAGCTCACTAGGCTAATCCTCTGCCTTGCGGCGCTGGCACACCGGGTTCTAGTCCCGGTCGGGGCGCCAGATTCTTTCCCGGTTGCCCCTCTTCCAGGCCAGCTCTGTGCTGTGGCCAGGGAGTGCAGTGGAGGATGACCCAAGTGCTTGGGCCCTGCACCCCATGGGAGACCAGGATGAGCACCTGGCTCCTGCCATTGGATCAGCGCGGTGTGCCGGCCGCAGCGCGCTGGCCGTGGCGGCCATTGGAGGGTGAACCAACGGCAAAGGAAGACCTTTCTCTCTGTTTCTCTCTCTCTCTGTCCACTCTGCCTGTCCAAAAAAAAAAAAAAAAAAAAAAAAAAAAAAAAAAAACAACTTATGCAAGATTCAGTTGTGAAGCCATCTAGTTCTGGACATTTCTTTTTTGGAAGTTTTAAATTATTTCTTCTTCAATCTCTTTGTTAATGATCTGTTAGAGCTTTCTATTTCATGATTCAATTTTATTAGATTATATAGGAACTTATCCTTTTCCTCTACCAAGCATAGGAAACCTTTTCCCTGCCAAGGGCCATTTGGATATATATGATGTCATTCACAGACCATACAAAATTTTCAACTTAAAAATTAGGCACCTGTAGATTTTTTGAATTTTGAGTTCCACCTGAGGCTGCCTTGGCAGGGTCAGACCAAATGATTTTACGTCTCTCATTAGGCCCATGGGCGGGATGTTTACCACTCCTGCTAGGCTATCCAATGTGTTGGCTTAAACTTGTTCATAATAGCCCCTTATGATTTTTATTTCTAAGGCATCTGTTGTAAAGTTTTTACTTTCAATTCTGATTTGATTGGATTCTTCTCTCTTTTTCTTAATCTATTAAGGGCTATGTTGGGTTACTTTTTCAGAGCAGTAACTCTTGATTTTATTTACTTCATGTGTTTTTTCTGTTCTCAATTTCATTTATTTTTTTTTCTGATCTATATTTTTCCATCCTTTTGCTAATCTTTGGTTAATTTTGGATGTGTTTGCTTCTTGAAGCATGTGTTAGACTATTAATTGAGGATCTTTTTTCCTTTTTAATGTAGGTATATATTGTTATGAATTTTCCTCATGGACCTACATTGGCTGTATCCCGTGAGTTTTGATATGTTGTCTTTACATTGTCATTTATTCAAGACATTTTATTTTTTAAATTACCATTTTATTTTTTGACCCATTGATTACTCAGGAGCATCTTGTTTAATTTCTAGTTATTAGTGAATTTCTCAAAATTCCTTTTGCTATTGACTTCTAGTTTCATACTGTTGTGGTAAAAATACAACATGAGATATGATTTTGATCTTTTTGAATTTGTTAAATTTTGTGTGTGTGTGTGGAGGCCTGTGTGATGGCACAGAGGGTAAAGTCACTGCCTGTGATGTCAGCATATTATACATAACACAGTCCTGGTTTAAGCTCAGTCTGTTCCACTTTCTGTTCAGCTGCCTGCTAATGTGCCTGTTAGGGCAGCTGGGAATGAATCAAGTGCTTGGGCCCCTGCAATCCATGTGGAAGAACCAAATGGAATTCCAGGCTTCTGGCTTTGTCTTGGCCCAGTCCCAGCTGTTGCAGACATTTGGGAAATGAACCAGAAGATGGAATATTTTTTTTTCTCTCTGTCTCTCCCTCTTTCTGATTACTTTTGATATATTTAATGTCTGGCTTCCTTGTACCCATCAATAAACAAACCAACTGAACTTTTCTAGGCTAATTGAAGACAATGTTTAGTAAAACTGTACTGAATTCATTTGTTTTCTTATTGGTGAGTGTAGCAGTATGGTAAATTTTTAGAGGTCTCTACTTCAGAACTGAGTGAGCAAGATATTTATTAACTTCATTTGCTTGCTGATATATTTAGGTGAGCTAGTGGAGTTCATTCAGGGGGCCACAGTAGATAGCATCACATACATATGAAATGGGATTTGGAGCATGTATTTAGAGACTGCAGTTTCCCACGATTCTAACCAACAGTTTTGGTATCAATTTAATACCATAGAAGATATTCATCTTTTTGTATTTCTGCATAGAGAACCTAAAGTTTTTATTTTTGAAATTTCAATGCTCCCCATAGTAGAGCTTCACCTGCCCTATTTAATACAGTAGTACAAAAATTGGCATGTGTTCAAAATTATGTCTTCATCCTCCTTAAGAACACAAAGAAATAGTTTCTTTAACCAGTCTACTGTTGATGGTCATTTGGGTTGATTCCAGGTCTTAGCTATTGTGAATTGAGCTGCAATAAACATTTAGGTGCATACAGCTTTTTTGTTTGCCGATTTGATTTCCTTTGGGTAAATTCCAAGGAGTGGGATGGCTGGGTTGTATGGTAGGGTTATATTCAGGTTTCTGAAGAATCTCCAGACTGACTTCACTAGTGGCTTTACCAGTTTGCATTCCCACCAACAGAGGGTTAGTGTCCCTTTTTCCCCACATCTTGCCAGCATCATTTGTTGGTAGATTTCTGTATGTGAGCCATTCTAACCCAGGTGAGGTGAAACCTCATTGTGGTTTTGATTTGCATTTCCCTGATGACTAGTGATCTTGAACATTTTTTCATGTGTCTGTTGGCCATTTGGATTTCCTCTTTTGAAAAATGTCTACTGAGGTCCTTGACCCATCCCTTAAGTGGGTTGTTCATTTTGTTTTTGTGGAGCTTCTTGATCTCTTTGTAGATTGGTTATTAAGGCTTTATCTGTTGCATAGTTTGCAAATATTTTTTCCCATTCTGTCGGTTGCCTCTTCACTTTCCTGACTGAAATTATGGGACATGTACTCTATAGAATACTATATAGCAGTAAAAAAAAAAAAAAAAAACAAAGAAATCCTGTCATTTACAACAAAATGGAGGAATCTGGAAAACATCATGCTGAGTGAAATAAGCCAGCCACAAAGGGAAAAATACCATATGTTCTCCCTGATTAATAACAACCTACCAAGCACCAAAAAGGAAACCTGTTGAACTGAAATGGACACTATGAGAAACAGTGACTTGAACAGCCCTTGTCCTGAATGTTGATGAACAACTTAATACTTTATCCCTTTTAGTATTTTTTGTTCTACTTAATACCATTGGTTGAACTCTTTAATTAACACACAGTTATTCTTAGGTCTTTAAATTTAACTGAAAAGTGATCCTTGTTAAATATAAGTTTGGGAATAAGAGAGGGAGAAGATGTACAATTTGGGACATGCTCAAGCTGACTTGCCCCAAACAGTAGAGTTAGAAATGTGCCAGGGGACTCCAATTCAATCCCATCAAGGTGGCATGTACCAATGCCATCTCACTAGTCAGATCTGGCTGATCTGAGATGGCATTGGTACATGCCACCTTGATGGGATTGAATTGGAATCCCCTGGTACCTTTCTAACTCTACTGTTTGGGGCAAGTTAGATTGAGCATGTCCCAAATTATACATCTTCTCCCTCTCTTATTCCCACTCTTATATTTAACAGGGATCACTTTTCAGTTTAGTCTCAACACTTAAGAATAACTGTGTATTGATTACAGAATTCAACCAAAAGTATTAAGTAGAACAAACAAACAAGCAAATACTAAGAGGGATAATGTATTAAGTTGTTCATCAACAGTCAGGGCAAGGGCTGATCAAGTCACCGTTTCTCATAGTGTTCATTTCACTTTAACAGGTTTCCTTTTTGGTGCTTGGTTAGTTGTCACCGATCAGGGAGAACATATGATATTTGTCCCTTTGGGACTGGCTTATTTCACTCAGCATAATGTTTTCCAGATTCCTAACAGGTTTTTCATATGGGTTGAAGGCACCCGGGTACTTGAGCCATAACCATCTACCTCCTAGAGTGCACATTAGAAGGAAGCTAGAATGAAAGCAGGGCCAGGACCTGAATCCAGACTCTTCAAAATGAGATGCTGGTGTCCAAACAACATCTTAACTTCCACAACAAACGCATGCCTCCCAAATATCATTGATTATCCAAGATATTTTTTGGTAATTGCCTTGGTATTTTAAATAATGATTATGGTAATCGAAGATTGGAGACAATTCATGATTTAAAAAATTAAATGATATTTTCTCTTCTAGTATATTAGGAAGTCATGAGATATTTTTAAAATAAACTCTGTGTAAGCTTTCTATACATATATACATAAACTTTTGCATATGTAATATCTGCATCATCTCAGTATAATTATAGTAATTCTGTTTTCTTTGCCTGATCAATCAACTATCAAGGTATACATAACAGCGTATCCATTTTACTCTGTATTTTTATTATTCCAATGTTTTTCTTCATTATCATTTTTTCTCTTTCCTTCTTAATTAAGTTCCACAAATATTTATTATTTAAAGCTATCCTTTAAAGGATTTAGGGAGGAGAGGGCATATGACACAGCAGTTAGGATGCTGCTTGGGTTGCTCACATCTTATGATGGAGTGCTTGGTTCAAGTCACAGCTCCTCTAGCTTCCTGGTAATGTGCAACCTAGGAGGCAGCAGATGATGACTCAAGTACTTGGGTCCCTGCTACTCATGTGGGAGACCTTGATTGAGTTCCAGGCTTATAGCTTTTGTCTGGCCCATCCCTGGCTGTTGCAAGCATATGGGGAGTGAACTAGCAGATGGAAGATTCATATTCTCCCTCTCCTTCTCCCTCCTCCTCCCCCCCCTCCCCATCTCTCTCCCTCCCTTTTAAATAAAGTTAAAATAAATAAAATGTTCAAAAAGGAGTTCTGGGAATTTGAAGTCTCTTGCCCATTGGCTATTGGTTTCTTTCAATTTTTTCCCCCTCTTTCCTCCTTGCTACCTCTCTCCCCTCCAGGATTGAATATCACACACACAGATAAACAATTATAGAGTGATCATACTAAAGTTTGTGTATATGTTTCTTGGAATCTTTAATTCTGGGTAGGAAATCCTAACTCTCTATCGGTTGCTTCACAGCCTGCAAAATGGTACAATTTGTTCCTGTGGCAGCATCTTATGGTAAAAACCAGCGCTGAATGATGCTGCTTTTGCTCTGGATGGCTGCAGCAATAGCATGGGTCATTTTTCTTCCAAGGAGTACTGTTGATTTGTTGGGACTTTCTCACTGATACCTAGTTCCCAGGGAATTGAAGTTTCAGAATAATGATTCTTAATCTTTTTTAGATCTGATGGAATCTATACCGTCTTTCTAAAAATGTACATACACACACACACACACACACACGCACACATGCACAATCTATATAGCTTCAGAGGTTTATCAAGCCACCAGGAATATAGATTTATGTATCTAAGAATAACTACATCATTCAGAGAAGCCACTCAGATGTTTGTTCCTTTATAAATAGGCATTTCTAAGCACAAGTTAAATATGAGCACAAATACTCATACTATAAAATATGATCTAAAGATATAAATGGCATGTTTGGAGCCCAAAAAAAGCACAATGTGTTTTAATAACATTCAGTTATATATAACAGAATTAAGATCTTTCTGCCCCAGTTAACTGGTTTTTAACTGTCTTAAGACATGTACCTCATGGTGATTTACAAGGTTACTGATGTTTCTTTTTCTTTATATTAAGAAAAAAATTCACAGCTTAAACTTAAAATACCACATAATGATAGAAGTTTGGGTCATCCTAAGTCATCCTGGTTCTAAGGAACAAAATAAATATACTCATTATTATTGTACACTCAGGAAAAGAATTAGAATCCCTATTCTCTTAGGTATTTTGTTGAGTCTTTGTCAAAAATGGAGTGTAAATTTTGTCCCCTTTGCACATCTTCAATCAATAGTACCACCCTTCTGGATCACAGTTGAGCTTGTTTGTATAATATGATCACTTATAAATATGGTAGATGTCAAAATTCTTACATACATGCACACAAATATGGCTGCTACAGACATAGGGCAAGAGAACTATTGCTTTTTCCTTCTGATTTTGTATTTTGAGTAAATATAGTCAAATTAGAACCATTTGTTCTAATTGGCTTCCACAAATTGATGAATTTCATAAGATAAGCTAATACTATGATGACTTACAAGAATGAATGGTTTTGTTGGTTTTGCTTTGTTTCCTTTTCTTTTCCAAAGTGATTTTCAATCAAACTTATATGTAATAATAGCTGTTACATAGATATAAAATACCACAAATTGAACATGACCACAAATTGAACATGAGCTTCCTAACTTATTCATACCTGACTGACTTACATCCGCTGTCTTTTATGGGAGATCCATCTGGCCTGACTTAGGTGAAAAATGGTATAGAATACTATAAAACAATACTTACAGACATAAACTATTAGAAATACCAGTTGTGCCTGGTTGCTCCTCTTCCAGTCCAGCTCTCTGCTGTGGCCCAGGAGTGCATTAGAGGATGGCCTAAGTCCTTGGGCCCTGCACCCACATAGGAGACCAGGAGGAGCACCTGGCTCCTGGCTTTGGATCAGTGCGGTGTGCCCGCTGCAGCATGCCAGCCGCAGTGGCCGTTGGGGAGTGAACCAACGGAAAAGGAAGACCTTTCTCTCTGTCTCTCTCACTGTCCACTCTGCCTGTCAAAAAAAAAAAAAAGAAGAAGAAGAAGAAGAAGAAAAGAAATACCAGTTGTGAAGATTAAAATCATCGAACTTCCTATTCATGGGTTAGCTAAAGCAATTGGAAAGGTGCCTCATTGACATCCAATAAATCATCTATTTCTGTAATTCTATGTGCCACACTTAGGCTATTATATATAATATATATAATATATTATATTATAATATAATATATATTATACAATATATAATATAATAAAATATTATTATATAATATTTTATTATATCATATAATTTTTATAAATATATTTTATTATATAATATAATTATATTATATAATAATTATATATCTTATTATAATATATTATTAATTATATATAATTAATATTAATCAATTAATTAATATAATTAATATATAATTAATATTATATAATTATATAACATATAATTATATTATAATATATTATATATATTATATATATTATATAATATATTATATATAATATAATATAATAATATTAAGTATTACATATTTTATATTAACTGTGAAAAGCCAAATCAGCCACACATAAAATTCTTTTAGGAGTTCTCTAGTGTTTTTGCTATTTTGAAAGAGAAATAATTAACAGGCAACACAGCATATGAAATTTAAAGTTTTAAGTTTAGTTATTAAAGCAAGCGAATTTGTATAGATTTAAACACAGGATTGATTTTGTTTCACATGAGAAATCAGTGTTAAAGATTAATTTGCATGAGTATTTACTTGCTATAAGACCAACTAGCAGGCTCCCAGCTTTCTAATCTTTAACTGCATGTTTATTTTGTTTTATTGGTGACCAAATTTTAGATAATCGAGCCTGCATTGTGGAACAGCAGTTTAAGCCACTGTTCACAATGCTGTAATTCCCTATTGGAGCAATGAATCCTGGCTGTTTCACTTCTGATCCAGCTTCTTGCTAAAGATCCTGGAAAGGCAGCAAGAAGGTGGTCCAAATACTTGGATCTCTACCACCCACGTGGAAAATCTAAATGGAGTTCCAGGCTCTTGGATTTGACCTGACCCAGCCTGGGCTGTTGCAACCATTTAGGGAGTAAAGCAGTAGAGAGAAGATCTTTTTCTCTCTGTGTCTCTCTCCCTCTTGCTCACTCTCTCTGTCAGTCTGCTTTTTAAAGAAATGAAATAAATCTTTAAGAAAACAAATATTAGGTAATCATTTCCATGTTTTTTGCCACTTGAGAATAAAAATAGAATTTAAAATTGTGCCATTTATGTCTCCTACAGTTTCAAAAAAAATGAGCAAAGCAAAGATTCTATCTTCTTCCGAGATGGGATTAGGCAAATTGATTTTGTACTTTCCTATGTTGATGACTTAAGGGAAGATGCAGAAATAAAAGCGGTAAGTGCCTATGTGAGAAACACAAGAATAACAAAAAGAAGTATATTCTATATTTTGATGTGGATATTCACATTGAATTACGTTGTAAAAAGTCAGAGACTTCCGAAGTGTTATTGAAAGCTGAAACTGAGTGAAAAGACTACAAAATAGGCAGCCGAGTAATGAATGTGTGATGCCAATTAAATTTACTGGATGTTTTAGAGACAAAGTCCTTTTACTTCTCCTCCAAGAAGCTGAGGTATTTTAGACAGCTCACATTAGATATTAAGTGTGGCCACCAAATTGCGGGAGTTTTTGAAAATAATAAAAATCTTTTCAGTGAAAATACTATTTTGAAATTGTAGGATGAATTTATCCAATCTGCAGTGGACTTTGTATTATATTGTAATTATGATCCTATTTTATTTTCATTATGGCAATTGACACTTTCAAAGCTGATATTCTTTGTTCACTTTTATTTATTTTTTAGAAAGCTTTTACTTAATAAATATTAATTTCATAGGTACAGCTTTAGGAATTCTTCCCCATACCCACCCTCACACTTCCACTCCCATCCCACCTTCTGCTCCATCTCCCATTCCATTCTTCATTAAGATTCATGTTTAATTATCTTTTTATACAGAAGACCAACTCTTTACTAAGTAAAGATTTCAACAGACACAGACACACAAAGTATAAATACTGTTTGAAGACAAGTTTTACTGTTAATTATCATAGAACAGCTCATTAAGGACAGAGGTCCTACATGGGGAGCAAGTGCACGGTGACTCTTGTTGATTTAACAATTGAAACTCTTATTCATGATGTCAGTGATCACCTGATGCTCTTATGAGCCGCCAAGGCTATGGAAGCCTCTTGAGTCCACAAACTCCATCAGTATTTAGACAGGGCCATAATCAAATGGAAGTTCTATCCTCCCTTTGGAGAAAGGTACCTCTTCTTTGACGGACCCTTCTTTCCACTGGGATCTCACTCATAGAGATCCTTCATGTAGATCATTCTTTGCCAGAGTGTATTGGCTTTCCATGCCTGAAATGCTTTCATGGGCTTTTTAGCCAGATCTGAATGCCTTAAGGGCTGATTCTGAGGCCAGAGTGATGTTTAGGGTGTTTGTCATTCTCTGAGTCTGCTGTGTGGCCTGCTTCCCATGTTGCATCGTTCTCTCCTTTTTAATTCCACCTGTTGTTATTAGCAGACACTTGGTCTTATTTATGTGATTTTTTTGACACTTATTCCTATATATATGTTACACGCTTAAAATGATCGCTTTAACTAGTAAGATGGCATTAGCACCCACTTTAATGGAATTAGGAGTCCCATGGCAAAATTTTTAGCTTTACCCTTAGGGGTAAGTCCGAGGGAACGTCTGCCGAACTGTACATCTCCTCCCTCTCTTATTTGGGCTCTTATTTTTTACTGTGATCAATTTTCAATTGGATTTAAAGACTTATGAGTAATTCTGTGTTAAGTAAAGTGTTCAACCAATGATATTAAGTAGAAAAAGAAAAGAGTAAAAAAACTAAAATAATAAACTGATCCTCTAAACTCAAGACAAGGGCTATTCAAATATTTGTTCCTCATAGTGTAAATTTCACTCCTACATGTTTCCTTTTAGGTGCTCTACTAGTTGTCACAGATCAGGGGGAACATATGATATTTGTCTGTTTGGGACTGGTTTATTTCACTAAGTATGATTTTTTCAGATTCATCAATTTTGTTGCCAATGTCCGGATTTCATTTTTTTTTTTACCACTATGTAGTATTCCATTAGTACATATCCCATAATTTCTTTATCCAGTCTTCTGTTGACTGGCATTTAGGTTGATTCCATGTTTTAGCTATCGTGAATTGAGCTGCAATAAACATGGAGCTGCAGATAGCTCTTTTATTTGCCGATTTTATTTCCTTTGGGAAAATTACAAAGGGTGGGATGGCTGGGTCCTATGGTAGGACTATATTCAGATTTCTGACATACCTCCAAATTGTCTTCCATGCTAGCTTTACCAGTTTTCATTCCCACCAACAGTGGATTAGGGTACCTTTTTCCCTACATCCTCACCAGCATTTGTTGTTTGTTGATTTCTGTGTGAAAGCCATTCTAGCTGGGGTGAGGTGAAAACTCATTGTGGTTTTGATTTGCATTTCCCTGATGGTTAGTGATCCTGAACATTTTTGCATGTGTCTGTTGGCCATTTGGATTTCCTCTTTGAAAAATGTCTGTTTAATGGGGCCGGCACTGTGGCAGAGCAGGTAAACACCCCGGCCTGAAGTGCTGGCATCCCATATGGGTGCGTGTTCTAGTCCCGGCTGCTCCTCTTCCAATGCAGCTCTCTGCTGTGGCCTAGGATAGCAGTAGAAGATGGCCCAAGTCCTTGGGCCCCTGCACCCATGTGGGAGACCCGAAAGAAGCTGCTGGCTCCTGGCTTCAGATCAGTGCCACTCTGGGCATTGCGGCCATCTGGAGAGTAAACCATTGGATGGAAGATCACTCTCTATCTGCCTCTCTGCCTCTCTTCTCTCTGTATATCCCTGACTTTTGAATAAATAAATAATTCTTAAAAAAAAAAAGAAAAATGTCTGTCTAAGTCCTTGGCCCTTCTCTTAAGTGGGTTGTTTGTTTTGTTGTTGTGGAGTTTTTGATCTCTTTTTAGATTCTGAATATTAATCCTTTATCAGTTGCATAGTTTGTGAATAATTTCTCCCATTCTGTCGTTTGCCTCTTCACTTTCCTGACTGTTCCTTTTGCCTTTCAGAAACTTCTCAATTGATGTAATCCTAGTTGTTAATTTTGGCTTTGGCTGCCTGTGCCTCTCGGGTCTTTTCCAAGAAGTCTTTGTGCCAATATCTTGCAGGAATTCTCCAATGTTCTCTAATAATTTGATGGTGTTAGGACGTAGGCTTAGATCTTTAATCCATGTTGAGTGAATATTTGTGTAAGGTGTAAGGTAGGGGTCTTGCTTCATTCTTCTGCATGTGGGAATCTAGTTTTCCCAGCACCATTTGTAGAATAGACTGTCCTTACTCCAGGAATTGGTTTTAGCTCCTTGATCAAATATTATAAGTTGGCTGTAGATGTTTGGATTGATTTCTGCTCTGTTCCATTGGTTTATCCATCTGTTTTTGTACAAGTCCCAGGCTGTTTTGATTATAACTGCCCTGTAGTATGTCTTAAAATCTGGTATTGTGATGCTTCCGGCTTTGATTTGTTGTGTAAAATTGCTTTAGCTATTCGAGGTCTCCTGTGTCTCCATATGAATTTCAGCACCATTTTTTCTAAATCTGAGAAGAATGTCTTTGGTGTTTTGATTGATATCACATTGAATCTGTACCTTGCTTTTGGGAGATTGGACATTTTGATGATATTCATTCCTCCAATCCATGAACATGGAAGAATTTTCCATTTTTCTTTTTGTGTCTTCTTCTATTTCTTTAAGGTTTTGTAATTCTCATTGTAGAGATCTTTAACTTCATTGGGTAAGTTTATTCCAAAGTATTTGATGGTTTTTGTAACTATTGTGAATGTGATTAATCTTGAAGTTCATTCTCAGCTGTGGCATTGTCTGTGTATACAAAGGCTGTTGATTTTTGTATACTGATTTTATATCTTGCTACTTTACTAAACTCTTCTATGAGTTCCAATAGCCTCTTAGTGGAGTTTTTGTATCCTCTATATAAAGAATCATGTCTTATGCAAAGAGGGATAGTTTGACTTCCTTCTTCCCAATTTGCATCCCTTTGATTTCATTTTCTTGCCTAATGGATCTGGCAAAAAACTTCTAGTACTATATTGAATAGCAGTAGTGAGAGTTGCCATCCCTGTCTGGTACCAGATCTCACTGGGAATGCTTCCAACGTTTCCCCATTTAATAGAATGTTGGCTGTGGGTTTTGTCACTCCCCCTCTTCATGGAGGAACTGACACAGGACCCTGCGCTGTTCTTTCGTCTGCTCGGCCCTCCCCGGGTTTGCTGCTGGTTCTTCCCGGGTTGGCTACTATCCCTTCCACCTCTGTGGAAGGGCAGTTCCCCCTGGCCACATTCCCCACTTCCGCAGGGGAGCGGCACACCGCCAGCCGGCTTTCTCGGGGGGCTGCACAGGTGTTCCCTCAGATGTTCCCCTTAGATGTTCCTCATAGATGTTCCTGGTGCATGCCGTCTCTCTCCTCCTTTATAGTCCTCCTCCGCCAATCCTAACTCAGCTGCCCACACGCCGAGTACGCTGCTCTCCAATCAGGAGCAAGTCCTACAGTTTATTGATTGAACTGGAGGCAGCTGTGCAGAAGCTGTTTACTTCTCTCCCAGCGCCATATTGTGGGAGAGCAGATGCATAGAATAAGTCTTAATTCCAGTAACTTAGTCCAGTCCGGATTGCTCCCCACAGGTTTTTCATAAATTGCTTTGATTGTATTGAGGAATGTTATTTCTATACCCAATTTGCTTAGAGTTTTCATCATGAAAGGAAATTGTATTTTGTCAAATGCTTACTCTGCATCTGTTGAGATAATCATGTGGGGTTTTTCTTTTTCAGCAGTTTGTTAATGTGGTGTATCACATTGATTGATTTGCGAATGTTGAATCATCCCCGCATACCAGGGATAAATCCCATTTGGTCTGGGTGGGTGATCTTTTCATGTGTTGTTGGATTTGATTGGCTAGAATTTTGTTGAGGATTTTTGTGTCTACGTTTATCAGGGAAATTGGTTTGTAATTCTCTTTCTCGGTTGCGTCTTTTTCAGGTTTATGAATGAAGGTGATGTTGGCTTTGTAGAAAGAATTTGGGAGGATTCCCTCTCTTTCAGTTGTTCTGAATAACTTGAGAGGAATTGGAATTTGTTCTTCTTAAATGTCTGGTAGAATTCAGCATTGAAGCCATCCAGTCCTGGGCTTTTCTTTGTTTGCCTGTGTTATGGGTCTATTTAGGTTTTCTATGTCTTTATGGCTCAATTTAGGTAGATTGTATGTGTCCATGAATCTATTTCTTCTTGGCATATAGCTCTTTGTAATAAT